CTTTCGGTTGGGGAACCAATGAGCTTGGCGCCTTTGAGGCCTGCAAGCAAGCCCTCGCCCATCAGGTAACTCTGTCTCATCGCGACGAGACAAAACGACTTTGCGTTTACACCGACGCTTCGGATACCGTTTGGTCTGGTATTCTTACTCAAGTACCCTTTGGTGACCTTTCAAGCCCGCATAAGGACCAAGCCCACGCTCCCCTGGCTTTTTTATCCGGTCGGTTTAACCGTACCCAGTTGGGTTGGAGTATCCTTGAGAAGGACGCTTATGCCATCCTTGCAACCTTGGATCGGATGCACTAGATCGCAGCTACACCACATGGTTTTGACCTTTACACGGATCACAACAATCTGATCTTCATATTCGACCCCCTTGCGGTCGTCCCTGACCTTTCTCAGACCTCTCTCCGAAAGATACTACGCTGGGCTGTTCGCCTCAGCATTTACGATTATACGTGCTTCCACATCAAGGGAACTGACAACGTATGGGCTGACCTTCTTGGTAGATGGTATGCACCAAGCACGGTAAGACGCCTGGTTCGAATCCCGGAGCTGCCGTCGTCTTCGTCGACCGATTTCGACTGGCCTACCATTACGGTTATTGCTGCTGAGCAGTCCCGCTCCGATTCGTCCCGTCCCCGCAATCTGACCAATACCACCGGTATTTGGTTCAACCCCAACGGTGCTATCTGGATTCCGGATACCGCCTCGGATCTACAGTTGCGTTTATGCATCATTGCGCACCCTGGACCGAGCGGTCACCGTGGCCAAGATTCTACCGAAACGGTTTTGCGCTCCCATTACTTCTGGTCCACTCTGACTACCGACACCCGGTCCTTCGTCCGCTCTTGCATCCACTGTCTATCGACAGTCGTAGGGGGGAAGGTACCGCGTCCGTTTGGTCCTGCCGTTCATGGTACCGCGCCTAAAGATCTCCTGCAGTTTGACTACATAGAGATTGCACCTACCAACCGTGGTGACAAGTATGTCCTGATGCTTCGGGATGACTATTCAAGTTACTGCTGGTTCTTCCCATTTGGTGATACTTCGGCTGAGAATGCTGCCGTAGCCATCATCGACTGGTCCGCCGCGTTTGGCGTCCCGAAAGGTTTAATGTCCGACGGACCCACGCATTTCCGCAACGAAACAATCCGCTTGATTACCAAAGGTCTCAAAGTTCCCCATTACTTTACGCTTCCGTACACTCCGTGGAGTAACGGCGCCGTGGAACGCCTTGGAAAAGAACTTCTTCGATTCTACCAATCGGTTGTTTCAGAGCTGCAACTTCAGTTCGAGGAATGGCCTGACATACTACCTTTGGTACAAAGTGCGCTCAACAACGCACCCTCACCCCAACGTGGAAATATCGCACCGATAATGGCGTTCACCGGCATGGAACCCTCTTCGCCGATTTCTACCTTCCTACGAACGGATACCGTAACACCCATTTCGGTTGATGACGCTCAGCTTGAGCGTCTGCTCAATGTGCAGCAACTTCAGAAGTATGTTGCTGACTTACACTCATTGGTACAGAAAACTCTACAGAACAACCGAGAGAAGGCTCGTGAGTTATCCTCTAAAGGTTTGCTACCGAACTTTACCAATGGTGATTTCGTCCTCGTCGCTCGCGAAGAGTTCTTCGCTGGCGCAAAACTCGCGCTGCGTTGGCGTGGACCGCGCTGCGTCATCAAGGCGCTCAACGACTTCGTTTACTAAGTGGAAGATCTCCGCAAAGGTAACCTGGAGGACATTTACGCATCCCGCCTGAAGTTCTACCACGACAGTTCGCTGAATACCGAAGCGGTTATTTCGCACGTGTTGAGTTCCGAAACGGGCATGCCTGTTTCTCGTCTTCTGCGCTTTGAAGATACACCGGACGGTTTGATGATAGTCGTCCGCTGGCAAGGCCTACCGCATTCGGAAGATACACTGGAACCTGCCGCGAAGGTTTATGAAGACGTACCCCAAATGGTTTGCGTTTGCTACAGCGCAAGAACACACCGCGTGATCTCGCAGAGAAAGCGCGTCGCATCCTTGCTCTTTGAAAGAGGGGAGTGTAACCGGCTGTGCACGGTTTCCCTTTTTCATACCAGTTGGTTCGTTGCTGTATTCCAGAAGGTACACGTAATACAAGTAGTCCGCGCTGTTAGTTTCTGCGAGGGCACCAACTGGTAATTCTAGATTTAGTCGACCCTCCGTCGTCGCAAGAAATAAACTCGCCATGGAGGTGTATCCATCGAGGCACCGACTTTCAAAAAGTATACCCAGCTTTACCATAGCTGCCGCATCCCGGAAGAAGTACGGCTGCGGCTAATGGATGCAGAAAAATGGATAAGAGGGGTTTCGTTTCTTCTAGCCTGTGTTGTGTATGACTTCCTTTTCTTGCTTGCGTTTGCATAAGACTGGTTCTTTCTTGTTCGGTGCTGATGGGGTCTGCGGCAACACTGATAGATAAAAGGGAGCGGTGAGGCATGATGACAGGTTTCAACAAACAAAATCCAACAACCTGACAGCAACTACCGCCTCACACCAGATCTAAAGGTTGGGGCAGGGACCCCGAGTTTTAAATCCGGTGCTTGTTCAAACCAGGAAACCGATTCTCTTACTCGTTTTATTCCATTTCATCACGATCGTCCTAACTGCAGTACGTTGCATAGCAAATTGAGCTATCTGCATGCATCAGTTCGAGTGTGACTGAAATGTCGGGTTTGCGCTTTGTGGAGACGTCCATGGTTTCATCCACATCTTCGTTGGACTGGGCGCTATGACTAAGCTTAACCGCAGCTCCCGAGCGACCTCAAATTACACGGTATCGAATTTCACCTGTACAACCTTTCTAAAAAGGAGAAGGAAAGACTAAGGTTCTTTTTCTGTGTTGTGGGTAGCCTTTTATTTCTTAGAGTTGCTGCACGAGACCTAATTTATACTACTTTTCATCTGCAGATAAGGTCTCAGTGCGTTCCAGGTAGTCGGACTCAATTCTGCTGAATTGAGGAAATCAAAACTCTAACTTATTGGATAGGGCCATTGACTACGGGTCCGATTACACCGAATCCAATCTACCTTTTCTGTCACTACAGTACCCTTGGGTACAGTGCTAACGTGTTACTTCATCCTTTCGTAGAACCAGACAGGAAGTGTTGAGGTGTACAACTGTATCCTCAACAATGCCAATAGCCATTATCAATGGAGCTTGAAGTAAGGGCGGAGCTTCTACTCCATTACAACCTTGCGTAATGGGAGATACAACTACTTGCTGAGAGGAAGCACCCTTTGTCTCCAGCTCCGTGATGAAATCGTCGTCGTGACGTCCTTGCCTCGGGCAGTCGTGATTGTCAACACTGTTATCGAGGGCCTCTTTGCCATGGGATTCTTGCCCTCCATTGGTGAGACAAGTAATCTCGTGGGATACTTGAACGGAGATCCGCTGTTAATAGTTCTTTTGCTAGCAATCCCTGCTGTCATTGCCTTTGGGATACCGCCTTCTTTTGGATGGACGAATTGTATTGTCTTTGCCGGACAGACAGGACGGAGGGAAGGAAGCAACAAACTACTCGAAACAAGGTGGAGGGGCGTGACGGAAACAGTGGATGCGGAGGACATTATGCAGTTTCGGGTTGGAAGGGCGAAGGGGATGGCTTCGGCTGTATGGGTTGGAGGTGGTGACGCGGCAGGGGGTGCGCACCGATTTTATGGAGCGTGTAGTTGGTCGCGAGAACGACATGGAGTTTGTGGGGCGGTATCTCAACGAGAAGCTGGGTGAGTTCATTGCAAGGCGCAGGGGTGATGGTGAGGCGTCTTGAGGGGCGGCTCCGCGTAATCTCTGCGATTAAGACACAGTTGCCGACTCGGCGATTTTGGACGCAGATTGAGTGAGCGGTTTGGAGATGATTGCGGCGTTTGAGTGATGGGAGGGTGCACAATGGGCTGGCGACTGCTGCGCCAATCGGCGAGTGCTTAGATTTCTGCCCTGGAGATGAGGACGTAAAGCTTTAGAGAAGGTGGGCCTAGCGGAGAATAGTTGGCAGAATGCGTCCACTTTATGTGACGGTACGGTGGCATTGTCATACTGTACCCTTGGTACTCTCTCTTCAGCAAAGCAACCAATCGCCCTCCGTCCGGAAACGCGGCACGGCGCCATACTGTAAATTTACACCTGTAAAATTTACTGTAGGGGAAGACGCCAGCCTATCACCCACGGACCAAACCTCCACCCACCCCCCCCCCTTCCCACCCTCCCCCCCCTCGCCCACCCACCCACGCACTGCCGCATACCTCCGCACCTTCTTCACGCGGCGGCGTACGAGGCGTGGGGAATCCACGCGGCCGAGCGCGGCGCAGCGGGGTCGTGGGGGTGGGGCGTAAGCGCTTGCTGCGCTCTATGCACGGAAGCGGGCGTAGGGCGGGCGGCGGACGTACGGCATGGAGGTGATGGGCGGCGGGCGGGGCGCGGTGGCTTGGGCTCAGAGTGCGCTGAAGGGTGAAGGGTGAGTGGCGAGGCGATACGAAGGATTGAGGCGATGGTGGGGGGGTATGGGGGCGCGGGAACCGGTGGGGCAGGCGGGCGGGGTGCGGGTCGCCGAGGAAGTGAAGGGAGGCGGAGAGGTGGATGGTGACGGCGGGAGGAGATTGTAAGGACGTGGGAGGTCGTGGCCGGGGCGTGCGTAGTGTGGCTGCCTACGGCGGGACGGGCCCGTGTGACGGATGGGGGGTTAAGGAGGGTTGAGGGAGCGGTGAGGGGGAGGGGAGAGGGCGTGAGGGGCGCGTACGGGACGGCGGGTGGTGGTTCGGGGAGGTGCGGACTGTGGAGGGGGTAAGGCTGGAGAAAGAGGGAGAAGGCGGGTTCGCTGCCTTCGCCGAAGGGGAGGGTGGGGAAGGCGTGCGTGTCGGGCAGGTCGCGTGGGGTGCGGCAGGGCGGGGCGTGGGCGGCGTGGTCGGCGGCGTGGTCGGTGGCATGGTTGGCGGCATGGTTGGCGGCATGTACAACACGGGAATTTAATGAGAGCGGCCTCTTGGCGGCGGTCAGGAGTCGGGGCGGCGGTCGCGAAAGGCGTCCTCCACGGCGACGGCGACGAGCAGGTGCCAGAAGCGGGGGTCTCTGAAGTTGTCCCAGAGGACGAAGCGGTCGAAGTCTGCGAGCTCCCAGAAGCGGTCGTCGGCCATGCGGACGGGCTTCTGCAGGGCGAGCAGCAGCGGGCGCTTGGCGCGCACGAAGGCGTCCAGCGTGTCGTCCGGGATGTGCGTGAGCAGCTCGCGCTTGCGCTCGGCGTAGCGGCGCGACGCGCCCTGCGCGTGCTGCGCGACCACGATGGACGCCGCCAGCGACGACTGCGCCGGCGTCAGCGAGGGAGGCGCGCGGGGGGGTTGCATGGCGGATGGGCGCGTCGAGGGGTCCGGAGGGGGGGGAAGGTGGCTTAATTAGTGGCGAGACAGTCAGTATTAGCATGGACATACAGAGAATAGCTCCTCAATAGTGCAGGTGTGAGTAGTGCAAACCGTCAATAGTGCAGGTCAAAACTGCTTGTCACGATTTTCGACAGACGTGCATCTCAGAAAAGCAAAGCGTCCATTGCTGCAAGCGTATGACGCCCAAAGAGAAAAGTTGGACGATCAATTGTAACGGATTTCTTCAAGTAAAAACCCGTTGTAAAAGTAATTTGCAAGATCCCCTCTTGAGTAGTGCAATGCGCCAATAGTGCAGTATTCCACCGCGTGGCACGGTACTGCACTATTGAGCGGTATGGACTGTATAAGTTAACTCTCTGCGTCTCCACGGGTGTCGTCCAAATTTAAAACGCAAGGTCCAAAATTTTCTACTGCTGCGACTGGCTATTGCTAGTCGACTATATTCAATCTCTGAACCTCCCAAAAGAACGCCCATTTTCTTTTGGAATGGGCTTTGCTCTGGCGGCACCCTTCCCCACTGGTGCACTCCTAATTTTTGCCTGGCTCCCTCCCATTCCGCAAAAAAATGTCAGTACAGAGGGGGGGGACTCCCATTAGTGCCACATTTACTAATGCCACCCTCCCATTAATGCCGGCCAGACGCACGAACACGAAAAGTGCCACGTGTCACACGGGTTCAGGTGTTATGCTGCCGTCCGTCCATCGCGCGTGAACACTTGTGAATGTGATACAGTGAAAGCGGCTGCTAAGCCCGATTCTATTCCCCGAACAGCGTTCACAGACTTTTGCTTGTCCTCCTTATGGATCTGGTTCCGGAAATAAAAAAAGCAACGCGCAAGCGCCTGGCAATAGCGCAGCAGCTAGACACTGCAGATCTGCTCGACAAGGGACACTGTGCCGAAGCAATTGAGCGGCAGTTGGGCACCGCAGGGCGCACCGTGCGAAACATCAGCGCTACTGCTCCCACATTACTCCGCGTAGCCAACAAAAAGGCGAAATCACTGCAAATAAAGACCCGTCAGGCCGTGGGAGTTTTGGCGACTGAATGCCAAGTTTCAGACGCTCTATCGTATCTGAGGTCGGCAAAGCGCGCGTTTCTCACTGCAAAACACGACAGAGACCCAACGCGGAGCAGGCAGAGGTTAATTACCGAGTGCATGAAAATAGATGTGACTACGTCACCTATTAATGCCGTCTCCCAATAGTGCCAGTTTTGGGGTCTCGCACAGGGCAGCACTAATGGGTAGGGCCCCCTGTACTGTACAGTTTCGCGTCGTGTGGCGGAAAGCTATTGTTTGTGGGAAATGACGGTCCAGATCATGTGAGGAGAATCGCGACTCACATCATTGTTTTGGATTGGACATGCCAGTTGGAACGGTTCTGGAACCGTCCAAAAAAGGGTTATTTGGAACCAAATAACCCTTTTTTGGACCACGCTCGAAGAGCGTCTCCACCAATGCTGATGATAAGGTCCATACAGCTTATACAGCACATAGATAGACCCGGTTGCGCCTCGAAACAAGTAGCTGACAAGTGGTGGCGGGTGTATGGCTCGCGGGCCGCAACGTCATCCCATGCGCCATGCTCGTCGTGTCTCACAGAGCCCGTCTGGCCCACAGCGTCGCCCTACACGTGGCCACTGAGCCACGTGGCAGAATAACTGCCATTCCTGCCGGCATTGCTGGCCAGCACCCCCCTCAGCCCCCAGATACTACCGCCCACCTCCGAATCCATTCCTTCCCCCTTGCGCTTCATAGAGCACATCTCCCCGTTACCCCCCCCTTCTCAGATATCCCCCTCCCGCGATGACACCCGCTGAGATCGTCTTGAACGCCCTCTCCTACCCGTTCCCGCGGCCCGCGACCTCCTTCCTCTTCCCCTCGCTGGCTCCGCTCACGGCCTCCGAGGAGTCCGCCATCCTCTCCTCCGCGCTGCGCTTCGTGCTGGTGATCGGCTCGAACGCGTCGCCCGCGCGCCTCTTCGCCAAGTTCGGCCGCTCCTCCGCCGCGCTCCCCGTGCTCGCGGTGCGCGTGTCGGGGCTGGACGTCGCGCACGCCTCCTTCGTCGCCGCGTACGGCAGCGTCGCCGCCACCGTGCTCCCGAGCGCGGGCGCCACGCTGTGCACGCACGCCACCATGCTCACGGAGGGCTTGTTCGAGGACATGCTCGCCACGGAGAAGGGCTACTACCTCGCGCGCCTGCGGGACGCGCATGCGGTAGAGCTGGCCAGCGGCGCAAAGGTCGCGCCGGGAAGGGAGGTGCTCGCCTTCGTGTGGGGCGGCGGCGCCATGCGCGCGCAGGACGGAAAGCCCAGGGCGCAGGGCGTTATCCCGGCCGAGGGGAGACGCTTGCAGGTTTGGGAGCAGAGGGAAGCGGTCGAGTATATGAAGCGCGTCGCGGGGCATGCGGAGGAGACGGTCGACGAGTTTGTGCTGCGGAATGTGCAGGATGCGGAGAGGAGGGAGGCGGTCAATCGGGTGTTGCGGGAACGGTGCGGCGGGATTGGGGAGGAGGGCATCGGGGAGGGGTTGCAGATTTTGAGGCTGCTGTAGCTTGATTGGGACACCTGTAGATTAGGGGGAGGGCCGAGCGCTACGGCCAAGTTGGTTATTTCTGTTAATTTTGTAATTTTGCAACCATCTACCAAATCTTTAATTTCTACTGATAAACACAAGGCAAACCCAAATTCCTATCCAGAGACTCCAATGCGGGATACTTGGCTACCTACCAAATCCTCCATTGCTACAGTACCCTTGGTACTGCTAAAAATCGCGCAAATCCAAATTCCGCTCCTGCAGACGCTTCTACAAGCATAAAGTACAAGCATACTTGTACTCGAGTACAGTATGCAAAGTTTACACTACGGTCGACGGGGTTCTGTATCTGCGGTATAGCATATTTTGTTGCGGGAGCCGCCACCGCAACCAAAGTTTCTTCAACCCATCCCCACCCGCCTCACTCAGAATCCGACGCAGACTCCGACTCAGACTCCGACTCACCCTCGCTCCACTCCTCCCCCTCGTACCTCCCAAACCGCCTCGACAGCCTCGGTAGCGCCATCTTATTGAGCATCTTCTGCACCTCGGGGTCCATAACGTCCTGCCCGTCGAGCTGTGCCTGCTCCTCCGCGACCATCATCCTCCCAATCTGCCCTGGCACGCGTCCATACTCCTTGGCGGCCAGCTCGCGCATCTTGAACACGCGCCGTCTCCTCAGCACGCGCCCGCGCCTCGTCATCATATGCCTCGTCTGCTTCTGCGTCATCCACCTGGTCATCACGCCCTCCACGGTCGCGCCGCTGACTTTTTCCGCCATCATCTCCAGCGTCACGCGCTCCAGTTTCCGCGCCTCCTTGCGTCCTACCGCGCGCGCGAGATGCCCCGCCAGCTCCCGGTCCACCAGCGACAGCACCTCCTCCAGCGCGCGCAGCTCGCCGCCCGCATGTGCCAGCACCGGGAACACCTCGCCGACCGGCAGGCACACCGTGAACTTGTCCTCCGTTTCCAGCATCCGTTGCAGCGTGCGCTGCGCCCGTCCGATAATCAGCACCCGCTTCGCCACGCTCAACCCGCCCATGTCGTCAACGCCCTTGCACTTTTTGTTCATCATCTCGTGCAGGAGGATGTTGAAGGAGACGTCCATTAGGCGCACGGATGCGTGAAGCCACTCATACACTTCTGATACTATCGCCCGCGTGAGTAGGCTCGGCTTATTGCCCATCGTCTTCAACACGTGGAGGATTGTCCGTATTTCAACCCGGATCGAATTGGTTAGTAGGGAGACGGCGTTGCTGCAGCTTCTTCCCTTGCCACGACCGTAGAAAGCGTAGTCTGGCCCGTCGTCGAAGAACGTCCCGAGGAAGCGGAGAGAATTGGAGGGCTGCGGGTCGGCAACCATGGTCGAGGTGAAGAGGCGTGTTGTGGGGAAGGAAGCTTGAGAGAGGTTTGGAGAAGGGTAGAAGGGCAGCGGATGGTTTTGTTTGACGTATGCCTACACTTGCCGACTTTTATAATGTTCTGTACATCTCTACGTCTCGTTCTTCTCTTCTACGGTTGCAGCAGATGCTCAGGAGGAGGATTTCGTTTTTGGAAACAGCATCATAGATCATTTAATTCGGCTTCCTAATTTGTTTTTCAGTGACGTCGAAGATTATTGAGTCACATCGTACTATTCCGTGTCGCCGCAAGAGAGCATAACATTGAAAAAGGGAGCATAGAGATTCAAGCGACGTCTAATCAGGAAATGGCACGGATAACCACAAGAGGAAGCAGAATCACATTCTTTCTTACCGTAGGCACACGTTTGTGCATCACTTTTTGCAAGCGTGCAAAATTTCGTCCTGGCGCTGATATTGTGAGGGGTCGGTGTAAGCATCAAGTTTGATAGAGCGGGCAAATTTATCGGACGAAGAATACTGTTCTCTCAAGAAAAACCCCTAACATGGACGTTGATGTATAAACTGATTTCTCAGAAGCGCGTCTGTCTGTGATTTCTCGACCCGTCCTCAGGAAAATGCTCCCCTTTTGCAGGAAAGGCGGCGTTTCTCCTCCTGCTTTGTACAAGCGTCACTTTGTACGGCCGCTTGTTGCGGGCAAAATATGCCGCGCTGCTGACTCATCCAGCAAGATCCAAAAACTGCTTCATACTTTCTTCAGGTTAGGGCAAGGCATCCGGCGTTGTGCTTCATGCTCTGTTGCGCACCATGTCAAACTGATTTCTATCTCTTACACATCATCATCTGTTCTTGATACGGGCATTGCTCGATCTTATCGAAATATCCTGTTGTTGCATCTTAGCTTTGAAGAGCTCCCCAGGAAGTGAGGTTTCAGTGTAGTGTACTAGAAATACCTGTCTTGACTGCTGGCTGCGGGTCGTCCGTGAAACGAAGACGCTACAAAAGACTCTTCTGCTCCATTTCTTTGTTTGATCATGTAGAATAGGCCCCCCGCAATCAAAACCACGAATGAGAGGCACGCTGCCGATATTCCAAATACTTTCCATTGAAATCTGGCCTCCTTTGCGTGCTCTGTGGTGGTTTGCTGTGGACTGGAGTGCGCCTTTGCAGTTTTCATACCATCGTCTGCGGCTGTTGCAGAAAGGCCTTCTTCATCCATGCTTATCGAGCCATCTTGTAACTGCACTGCACCAACCCCAAGTCCGAAATGTCTCTCGAAAACATTCTTCTTTGATGCCTCCGTCCGCAGGAACAAACTAGCCAGTTCGTTTCGAGCTCCTTCGTATAGTGTACTCATATCGCCGCTCCCTCCGTACAGCTTCATCCAAAAAGTAACTTGGCTTGGTCGGAATACGGTTGCCAAAGTTTGATTCGATGTAAATCCAACTTGACTTGGAGAAATCCGAATCCTCTCCGCTAGCAAATCGGAGACAGCTCCGACTTCAACTGTTGAAACGTTCAGTGTCATTGATACGTTGATGTAGAAGACTCCTTCCACGGGCCTCGACACAATAGTGGTGGAGCTTTGATTGAATGAAAGGTATTGCAGTGTTGGCAGGCTCATCGAAATGCTTTCTGCAGTTGTAGGCATTTTGTTTGAGAGAACGTATATACCTTGCTTCATAGTTGATATGAGGGCTCGCTTTGGTGCTGACGGAGTTATTCGGAACGAGTAGACCGTGTCGGAAATGTCTAGTTTGGGAACTTGTTCGCCATATTCTCCTACCCTTACAACGTTGGTGCTGTATGTATTGGGCAGCAGTTCTTCCCTTCTGCGATAGGAAACAAGATGATACACATATTTATCCGCTGCAAAACCCAACCCCGGTATAGGCGTCGCAGATCCCATGCCTTCAAAGGATTTCAACCCTGCCTCCCTGTTAAGGACAGACGTGCAACATGTTTCTTTTGACCACAGCAGCGTCCCACGAGAACTTGACAGTTTATGGAGGTATGACTTTCGTAGGTTGTCTGTCCCGGACCAAAAGTGTGTGAGTACATAAATCGATTCCGTCGTCGCCAAGATCCCAGAGGACCGGAGGTCGGTGTCGGCGGAGATTTGAATATTTTTCCTCCAAACTATTTCTCCCTTTGTAGTAGAGAGGGCAATGACCAGAGAAGATGCGATCTGTTTATCAGAACGTCTCGAATGAGAGGTACCAGCCAAGAAAGCTGTCTTTTTGTCTTCCGAGAGTGTCAGACCGGAGCACATGTCGGCAGCCATATTTTCTCCAGCCTGGCGAAGCCAAGCAATTTTCTTCGACTTTGAAACCTTTCCGACTATGATTCCCCCTGTTAATGTGAGGGCGGACTGAAGTGGAATGCCAACTTCCTGCGAAGATCTCCCGCAAAGAAAAACGTCATCACCCGCAACAGCGATGCTCGAAATCATATAATTGCTCTTTTTTCCTGCTTTAAAAACATGTCCTTTTTCCTTGCCAGTATTTGCGTCGTACTTTTGGATAATGAAGGGCTTGTCGTCTTTGCCAACAGTCGCCGTTCCCGCCGCATAAACTACTGAGCCATCCTGAGAAAGGGCGACGGCTGAAAATCCTGAGGCCTGAGCCAGCAATAGCCGGGAAGCCCAATCGACCCTTCCGTCCTGCTTCGCAACTCGGACGATGATTGCATCTTGGTAGGCTTTTGAAGCATCATAATTTCCAGGTTTCATCGCATTGTTGTAAACAAGGCCAGGAAAAGACTCGTTCATACCCCTCGGCCCCGTCGTTCTCCCCACGATATACACAAATCCATTTCCGCCGTCAAGCGCGATTGACAGGGCAACGTCCTTTGTTGAGGTCTTGTACTGCTTTGACCATTCTAGAGCACTAAGGTTGTTTGAGAGCACAACGGACACAAGAGATACCAGGAGAAGCGAAAAGCAAAAGCCCCCAATGGAGGTCATGATGAAGGAAGGCGTACGGTGGTTTAATGGTGTGGCAAAAAAGGATATCCCCTCTGAAAGAAGCCCTCACTCCACCATTTGGATGAAAAGAAATGCGAAGAAGCGGAGTGTGGAACCGTTTACGTTTGACAAAAATTTTCCCCGGAAAGGTTTGCCCAGCGCATGAGATTTTTTTAGTGGCAATGATACGGAATCCTTATCCCGAAAGTATGGAGAGGAAAAAGTTGGAGGCAAAGTCGTGAAAAGGGGGTTCTAGAGTCACATCTCACAGTCAGTTGGGTTGCAAAAAGTGTGGATGTAAATTATTGGTCACTCTGGTTTTTATCGTGCACGGCGGTCTTCAAGAAGGAAAGATACGACACAGTTTATTCATGGCGGGTCATCTGCCGCACTTATGATATTGATGAGAAAGAAGTTGTGGTCTCAGAATGCGATGGAAAAATGAAGGAACGATTTCCCATCGTGCCATTCTTGCCTGTGTGATCCGCTTAATGTCGTGAGCTCGCTGCTTAGCCTCTTTTTTATCTGCTGAAATGCAAGACTGGTGTAGACTCTACAGTATTATCGAAGCAGCGTGTTACCAGTTGTGTGTCCGAGAGAGTACCGTAATAGGAAAACGAGGCGGCATTCGCTCAGCGAAATTCACAGAGAATGCCGC